CCAGTACCCCGCATTCCTCAGTTATTTGAGGCGAATTTTGCCACATCTGAGCACAGCAATACTATTATTTACTTAGTAGATTTCTGTCGACTAAATGTTTTATAAGCCTGCAATGTTTTTAACTATAAGTGAGGAGATTTACCATAAATAGAAAACCAAAACCACTTGACATAGAAAAATAAGCCAGCCAGAGCTTGTTTTCCATTTTCCCACCTGAACCCCAGCTGAAAAAGTAGAGTACAAAGGGAACATCATATATTTTTTAAAAAAGAATTCTTGTCACTAGGGGGAAAAAAGAGAGAATATCAAGAAAATGAAAGAACATTGTTTAAATTTTAGCAAGTGATTGTTGGCTGCTGAAGTCTTCAAGCCCAAGACCCCTCTTCTTGTTTTTTAAGGGGGTGTTATGTGAGAAGTGTTAAAGACGTAGTAGCATGGAACCAGAATGTCCTCGGGATATAATCAGAAAGATGGAAAGAATTAAAAAAGGGAATAGTGGGGGTTTTTTGGTGTTATTTAATGTTGTGCCCTTCTTTCAATTTCAAGTAATATTCAACAAGGAAGCCAACAAGGAAAAGGATGATCTCTTCAACTAATAGTGTTTGGAAAACTGGAAAAACACATGAGGAACAATGAAACTGAACCCCTACCTATCTCATAAGACTCACAAAAATTAATTCAAAATGGGTCAAAGTCTTAAACATAAGACTGATATCATAATCCTCCTAGAAGAAAACTTAGGGAAGAAGCTCCTTGACATTGGTATTGACAATCATTTGTTGGATATGACACCAAAAGCACAAACAACAAAAGCAAAAATCAGCAACTGAAAACTACATCAAATTCAAAAGCTTCTGCACAGCAAAAAACAAAAACAAAACAAAAAAATCACCAAAATGAAAAGCCACCCTCAGAATGGGAGAAAAATTTTGCAACTATGAGATAAGGGGTTAATAGCCAAAATATATAAGGAACTTATACTACTCAATAATAAAAAAACCCCCAACAATCCAATTTAAAAATAGGCAGAAGTAGACATTTTTCCAAAGAGAACATCAAAATAAGCAATAAGCACATGAAAAGATGCTCCGTATCACTAATGATCAGAGAAACAAAAAATCAAAACCACAATGAGTTATCACTTCACATCTGTTAGAATGGCTATCATCAAGAACAAGAGACAACAGATACTGGCAAGAATGTGGTGTAAGGGACCCTTACACTGTCGACAGGAATGTAAACTGGTCCAACTGCTATAGAAAGCAATATAGAGGTTCCTCAAAAAATTGTAAATAGGTCTACCACACAATCTAACAATTCCACTTCTGGGCATATACCCAAAGGAAATGAAAATAGGATTTCAAAGATGCATATACATGCCAATGTTTATTGCAACATTATTCACAATAGCCAAGATATAGAAACAACCTAAATGCCCATGAATGGATGAGTGGATTAAAAAGATATTTTATATATATATTATATATATATACACACACACACACAAACACACACACAATATAATATTATTCCATCATAAGAAAGGAGGATCCTGCCATTTGTGACAAAATGGATAGCCTTGAGTACATTTTTGCTAAGTGAGATAAGTCAGAAAGAGAAAGACAAGTACCATGTGATATCACTTATATGTGGAATCTAAAAAAATCAAACTGGTAAAAAAAAAAGATAGTTACCAGGGGGTTTGGAAGTGGGGTGATAAGATTGATGTTGTTTAGGGCTACAAACTTGCAACAAGTAGTAAATAAGCCACAGCAATCTAGTGGACAGTATAATTAATATAGACAACAATATCGCACCACAATCCTCAAACTTGCTAAAATACTAATACTTACTCCAACAACTAAAAAAAAAGCATCAGTGTGATAGAGATGCTAAATATCGCTACATATTTAGTGATATGTAATCATGAAATCATACTACAATATATAAATGTATTGAATTAATGCTTTGTACACCTTTAAGTTACACAAGGTTATATGTCAAATCTATTTGATTTAAAAAAAGCACTTAATAACAGTTTTGTTTCTACCTTTAAAAGAAAAAAAAACCCACTGTGAGTTCTAACATTGGGAAGCATTAGTTTCTTTCAAAATCAATTGTGTCTAAGAAGAGTCTTCAAAGAGGCTTAGCAAAGTGATTCCTACGGAGAAGTCTCCCGAGGGCACCCTTCAGATCTCGGTTCCGCAGGCTGTAGATGAAGGGGTTCAGCATGGGGGTGACCATGGTGTACATCACTGTGGCAGCCATGTCCTTCTGAGTGGTGTGTGTGGATGCAGGGTTGAAGTAGACTCCAATGATAGTCCCATAGAACAGAGAGACAACACAAAGGTGAGAGCCACAGGTGGAGAATGCTTTCCACCTGCCCTGGGCAGAGGGCAACTTCCACACAGCCACAGCAATAGGTGTGTAAGAGGCCATGATGTACACAAAAGGGATAAGAACCACTGAGCCCCCAAGGACCAACACCAGCATCTCATTGACTTGAGTATCTGAGCAGGAGAGCTTGATCAAGGCATTGAGGTCACAGAAGAAGTGTGGGATCCTATTGGTGCAAAAGGACAAGTGGATCATCAGGATAGTGTGGACCATGGAG